TATCTTGACAACTTTAGAGGGGGTGATGGGAAAGGGAGGGATTTGATCAGCTAATCAACCAAACATTGTTTAATTATAAAACAATGAAATGTGTATAGTAATCAAATTACAATGGAATAATGTTTTCCATAATGATCAACTAACTATTACATGTTAAACTATTCATCTTAGTAAAGGGAAAAAAATATTGCGTTTATATATTATGAGTTGAGATAGCTGACAAAAATGTTCCGCCTAAGTAATAAAAGTTAAGTTTCAGAGTTATGAGTTCGAGCCACGTATTATGAACGAATATCTGTGATGATGCTTGTCATCCTTTTGTTTACAGAATTTACAAACTTAGGATTTAGATTCAGTAGTTAAGAGTCATAGAGTACTATCTGATTACACTAACGCTCTTGACTATGCATTGAATCATATTAAGTGTGCTAATACATAACTTGCATTAAGAGTAGGTAATTTAGCTTAACTGCCGTATTATATTCTCAGGTTGGTTGCATAGTAGACATCTTTCTCAGCTTTAATGATGTTATAAACCAAATACTGACAATTTTATTTTACTTCATGATAACATACAGACCAATTCATACTCCTCTTTTAATTTTTTGCAAAACTCCATGAGGCCCTATCCTATTCCTGAAAGACCTAGTCAAGGCCAACACCATAGTATACTGTTACTGTCCAATTAACTTTATATCACATGCACTAAACTGAAATGCTGGTTGTCTAGAGTCAGTTAACGGGACATTCTACTCAACTTGAGTTTTGTGTTAGTTGTCACTTGTCAGAAAGGTGTACCTGCAATTTGGAGGGGACTGGTTTTTCTTGCAATTTTAAGTGATTTAGATTAGTGGTTACACTGCTACTTGTTCGATAGAATTCAGTCCACACTAAAAGAGTTTATAAATATGACTCTGGTTACTTATCACTGATCAGTCAACTGCAAATATCGTAATCCTCTAGGAACACAATTCCATGGACGAATGAATTGTAAAGCTAGAGCTATTGAAGTTCAATTTTTATAATGTTCATCATTTTCGCCAAAATTCCTGGGATGCGTTGTTGACGAATGCCAACTAGCACGAAACTCAACTCGAGCAGAATTTGTTGCCAACTGCTTGATTCTAACTACTGAACGTATATAAAAAACCTTACTTCACAAATATTCAGTATATTTCGATTTGAATAGCTAAAAGGTTTTTGAAATAGTTTAATACATACAATCTGCACAACACGTACATATACCAACAATACTGATCCAAATCCAGTCTTTTGTATTAACGATTGGTTGATTTGAACGGTTGCTAATAATGATATGAATATCATAAAGCATGCTATGGCGTTAGAACCGTAAGGTATTGAACTTGAATTCGGAATTATGAACATCAACACTGGAATGTAATTACATTCAGGTGACAAGTCTCAAGTTGGACGAAAGTTGCATCCTGGATCCCATTGTTAGCTACAATCCATTTACATATACGTCTGTTCATTAATAAATGACTTCGAGTTCGGTTCTCTAATTCTATTATAAAGTTGCCATTGGTGAAATTCAGTAATCCGGAGTGACACAATTACTAACAAACTGGTGTGAGGTACTTATATTGATATAAGTAGTATATAACGTGCGATAAAGGAACGTAATGTCTGGCAGCGGAAGATGGCGAAGATCAAGAAAGATAGAGCAAGAACACAATGGAGTTTGTAAGAAAATGCATGAAGAATGGAATGGGAGACAATGGATTGGTGTTTGCAACAAAAACAGTCTAGTTTGGTTTGATGCATGAATATTTTGCAAATTGACGATTGACTATATGGTATTCAGATTTTGTTGAGATAGACTGTAATTGTTGTGCTAAATACATCCGTTTGTCCCCACCCGTGTTCTTGTTCAATAAAATACCATTATTTAATCATTACTCTATATCTATAATTGATTTGAGTATAATGTCTGGATTCTCATCATGCCCTTAATCCTAGAACTATCTTTAGTACCGTTTGATTGAAAGTACCATGCTTAGACGAAATAACTATCCAATGAACCTTAATTTTCAATGATATCACAACTACCATTAATTTATGATAGACAAGTGTCTTTTATGAAAACTTTTCATCAATCAGAAAAATGAGAGGAAAATCTAACAAATATCTCATAACCGTCCCATTGATATGAATATGTTATTGGGAGGAATAAGCTATTCGGTCTAATGATTTTGCGTTTTTTCTGTTTGCTAATACTCTTCCGCTAATGTTGTTATCGTCATGGGATGAATATTGGGACCTTCGGAAGTTTTGTCCCAGATTGTTATTATTATCGATCACGAATTGATCGTTGCTAGACTACCATTGTGAATCTGGAAGCACTAAAAAAATGTGTGAAGTTAGACCCCAGTGGTTTAGAAATTAAGCATTCGCGCGCCAGACAATAGGTTGTGGGTACGATTTCCACTCGCTAAGTTATGTATGCTCACTTTTGAGGAGTCTCATATTAAGACAGAATATCCATCCAGTGCTTCCGAGTTTTCACTGGTTGTCTAACTTTGGAATGTATTCACGATTCGACTTTTGGTGTATATTATTTCTTGTTTTTTCTTCTCACTTTTATTAAGTCTAGCATCAGAGTTGTTTGTTATGATGACTGAAGAGAAACTCAATTGTCGGAATACTGTTTAATCCATTCATGGAAGTATCTGTCTACAAAAAGCTAATTCTGTTATTTTATTGAACCTAAGTCTGAAATACCAATTATTTGAACACATCAGCTAGATTTGACTGTATCACAAGGTGGATACTGACTCTGGGATGCAAATGCAACTATCTGACGAGTCCCAAATTGGGCGAAACTCGCTTCCTGGATTCCACTGTCAGCCGTCAACCATCTCCGTTGATAATTACTAATCTATTAATAAATTATAAAACAGAATTAACTAAGGATTTTCTATCGTAGTGCTAACCATATGAAAATACAAAATGACTGATCATCATCAGTTTGATGTCAAATATGCAAATTAACAATCTTCAAAAACCCTCATTAGTAATTATGATAGTGATGTACTCGCTAGAGAGCGGTAATTCCAAGAGTTCCTGTGGAAAACTTGTGGTCGGTAGAATTCTACAGTATGGTATATGAGGTAGTTAACCACCAACCACTTACTTACGCCTGTTACTCACAATACAACATAGGCCGCCGACCAGCATTCTCCAACCCACTCTGTCCTGGGCCTCCTTCTCTAGTTCTATCCAATTCTTGTTCATTTTTCTCATGTCTATTTCGATTCCTCGGTGTAATGTGTTCTTTGGTCTTCCTCTCCTCCTTTGGCCTTGAGGATTCCATGTGAGGGCTTGTCTTGTGACGCAGTTAGGTGCTTTCCTCAATGTGTGTCCTATCCACTTCCAGCGCTTCTTCCTCCGCTGAGATCTGGTTTGTTCTCTCCCACAGTACGTTGTTGCTAGTAGTGTCCGGCCAACGGATCCGAAGTATTTTGCGTAGACAACTGTTAATAAACACCTGTATTTTCTGTATGATTGCTTTCGTAGTTCTCCAGGTTTCCGCCCCATACAGTAGAACTGTGTTGACATTTGTATTGAAAATCCTGACCTGGGTGTTGGTTGACAGTTGATTTGAGTTCCAGATGTTCCTCAGTTGTAAATTTGCTGCTCTTGCTTTGTCGATCCGCGCCTTCACATCTGCATGAGATCCACCATGTTCATCAATGATGCTGCCCAGATATGTAAAGGTTTTTACATCTTCTCAATCGTGTCCTTCAATTGTGATTAGATTGGTGCATGCTGTGTTGTATCGGAGAATCTTTCTTTTCCCTTTGAGTATATTAAGACCTACTGCTGCTGAGGCTGCTGCTACACTGTTGGTCTTCTCATGCATTTGTTGTTGCGTTTGGAATAGAAGGGTCAGATCATCTGCGAAGTCTAGATCGTCCAATTGCATCCTACCACCAACCACAGTAGAGCAATATTGTAGATTAATTAAAATTATAAGTGCAAACAAATGTTAACCAATCCAAAAGTTTTCTATCGCACACACAACAAACTCAAGAGAAGACAGTCTGTGTAGCGGCAGCCTCACAAACAGTACGTCTCAACATAAACAAAGCAAAATTCCCCGACACATTACAACATGCAACAATCGAATCACGCTTGACTGAGAAGTTTTGGTGGATGTAAAGACATTCACATATCTGGACAGTATCATTGATGAACACGAAGGATCTGATGCAATGTGAAGATGTGGATCGGCAAAGCAAGAGCAGCAAATTTACAATTGAAGAACATATGGAACTCAAAACAACTATCTGTCAACCAACATCAAAACCACAATTTTCAATACAAATGTCAAGACAGTTCTACTGTGTGTGGGGCGGAGGAACTTCGAGAATTACGAAAACTATCATCCAGTAGATACAAGTGTTTATTAAAAGTTGTCTACGCAAGATACTTAGGACTGGTTTGCCAGACACTACGAGCCACAACATACTGTGGGTGAGAACAAACCAGATTGGAATGGAGGAAGAAATCAGGAGGGAGCGCTGGAAGTGTATAGGACACATATTGAGAAAAGCATCGAACTTCGTCATTAGCGCAAGCCCTCACATGGAATCCTGAAGGTCAAATGAGAAGAGGAAGACCAAAGAACACATCACCCCGATAAATGTAGATAGACATGAGAATGATGATCATGGCTCAGAATCGATCACAATGGTGTCGATGTATACACATTTTGTCTTCCTTTAAATTATGCCATGAAAATTGCTTTAGGTCTTTCGTTCTGACAACTGATTTCTTCTTCCTGTATCGTATCCTTATATGTAATCTTTCTTTTATATATTACCACCATTAGATTAACTACTTCTATGAATCTGGTGTTCATCCTGTTGTGTTAATGAGGTATGGCAACTTGAACTGATGTATATAAGTGCCTGATCCTTAGTTGTAGTTGACTGATTATTTGATTGATCATTCATAAAAATATAGTAAATTTATATTCAATATTCATTTATTATTTTATATGAATAGTAATTGGCAATATGGATTAGAATAATTTTATATTAAATATATAAACGACATAATTTTAAAAGAATAAAATAAAAAGAAGTAATAATATTGATAATAAAGAAAAGAAGAAAAAAGAAAAGAAAAATAGAGAAAAATATAACTGAGAAAAGAAAACACAATCTTGTATACATGTAATTGTTATAGGATTACAATGAATACCATGTAAACTGTACATGTAAACTGTATTACAGATATATAATATATATAGATATGTATAACCTGATTCAAGATCATTCATCATTGAACATGTCAGAAGTGATTTGTGGAATAGGATGGATTAGAATTATCGATTGGTGTCAAATGTTTTCCATCGTAACTAGTGTAAATTGGTGAACTATTATTATTATTATTATCATGAGTAGTAGTAGTAGTATTGATAGTAGTATTTTGATTATATTTTGCTTTGATCATATTTAAATGATGTGAATAAGTTGTATAGAATTGATCATCTGAATAATATATACCAGGTTCTAAATTTGGTAAACTATGAATTATATTTGAATTGATTGAATAATCTGAATTTGAAATATTTTCAAACGTTTCTTCACCTACTGAATAAAGAATTTAAGTAGGCTAAACGTTATTTGATAAAACATTTATGATCAGTTGTAGAGTATGTTAGTATTAGTATAGGGGTTGTAGAGATTATTCAGTTTTTGATCGAGATCATGAACCGATTGATGTTAGACAACCGTTGAAAACCTGGAAGTACTAAAAAACCGCCTCGATCTAATGTCGAACTCCTAAGCAGTGCGCATCCACTATTCGGCTCGCGGGATTCAAACCCAGGACCCTCAGTCTCACTCTCGAACGCTTAACCTACTGGACCACTGAACCTTCATTCAGTGGTGTTAGTGTCTAACATCAACCAATCCACGAAATCGCACGATCATCTCCCATTGTACTGAGGTAGATGCCTGTCCCTATTCGACACGGATTAGCTTCAGTGGTCACGGCTTCTCACTAGAATTCAGAGAATTCCCTCACGATGCTAGTCACTAGTGAGCACATGTTAATTTTCAGCATAGGGGTTCTGGAGATTATTATGTTTGTGATTGAGATTATGGACCGATTGATGTTTGGTTACATTTGGGATACTATTGAAGATAACAAAGCATTAAATAATTATTTTATTCTAGTATAAAGCTTAACAACAGTATCCATGCATAACAACTAATCAGGAGTTAATGAATGGCTTTCGGATCTCGTGGTATTTAACAGAATATGAACTCAAATTTCAACACTGATTTAATTAATTCCATGGCCTAAACATGATATATCTCTGTGTTTACTTATCATCTTCAGTTCAATTAATAAGTGAGCAATTATAAATGAAATGCACTATTGGATGGTGTCGATTGTTCACCTGCTCAAGATCTCTGTCTATACATTAATATCTGAATCAAGAGGACAATTATATACGTATCTATCCAAATCTCGGTCTTCCTACAGTCATAGCTATATGAACAAAAGAATATAAAGCATATAGGATGGAATTAAATCTTGTAGATCGTTGCAAATTTCGTTTATGGACCGTTGCATTTCAGTTGTCTTGATAACCTGAATTCTACTCTTTCAATTTACAGTTCAAATTTGATCATGTCAATACTAATTTACTGAATGATACAACTTTTGTGTAAATCACATCAACCTTAAAGGCAATTTAATTCACTTCATTTACAAAACATAAATATGTTATCAGTGTACTTGTCGTCAACTTGACTGACACTGATCACGATTTGTAGACTTTATATACACGTTTTACTTACTTACTTATATACACCTGTTAATCCTCGAGGGAAAGTATAGACCGCCCAAATGGATTTGATCCTAATTGTTCATCGATGATACTTCATACACGTTTTACATTAAAATTATTGAGTTTAAATCAGTATCATGAATAATGGATCAATGTTGAACCACCATTAAAAACCTGGGATCATTGTATGACCATGTTGTCCTAATATGAGACTCCTCATCAGTACTCATCTACCATCCCATACGTAAGACTTGAACCCAAGACCTTAAGTCTTGCACACGAACTTTTAACCTATACTAATATTTACATGACTCTCAAAATAGGTTTCTTTTAATTCAATCAACTTGATTGATATATTGAGACCTACTTATAAAGTAAAGTAATGAATCTTTTTTAAATTACATCCAATTGTGATATTGTTAGGGATGTAGAGGAATATACCAATAATTATCGTGTTAAGTCTAATGGTGTCCTTGGACGTTAAATGGACATTTCCTATTGGTCGATATTTATTTCACTTGTCAAATATTGTACACATGTTGTTTCCTATTTTATGGTACGATGTGGTTTGTTTGTGTTGGTATATAAACAGAGTATGTTTGAAATATAACGATTCAAAACTCAGAGGCTGAGATTTGTGTTCTGGACTCAACTGGCTGGGATAGACGGCAAAGCAGGGCCAATCGGAACCCTAGGCCGTTCTTACGTGTTTACGCGTCTTTGGTCCGATCGATAAATACGCTACGCAACTAAATCTGCAGTCACTCACGTCACAACAGATATAAACATGTAAACTTACTTACTTACGCCTGTTATTCCCAATGGAGTATAGACCACTAGCCAGCATCCTCCAACCCACTCTGTCTTGGGCCATCCTTTCTTGTTCTATAAAATTGTTGTTCATTCTTCTCATGTCTGTCTCCATTTATCGGGAGAATGTGTTCTTTGGTCTTCCACTACTCATTTGACCTTCAGGATCCCATGTGAGGGCTTGCGTTAATGACGCAGTTCGATGGTTTTATCAATATGTGTCCTATCCACTTCCAGCGCTCCCTCCTGATTTCTTCCTCCACTCCAATCTGGTTGTTCTCTCCCACATTAGATTGTTGCTCATAGTGTCTGGCCAACAAATCCGAAATATCTAGCGTAGACAACTTTTAATAAACATTTGTATCCACTGGATGGTAGCTTTCGTAGTTCTCCAGGTTTCCGTCCCACACACAGTTGAACTGTCTTGACATTTGTATTGAAAATTCTGACTTTGGTGTTGGTTGACAGTTAGTTGTTTTGAGTTCCATATGTTCTTCGATTGTGTATATGTTGATCTTGCTTTGCCGATCCACATCTTCGCATTGCATCAGATCCTTCGTGTTCATCAATGATACTGTCCAAATATGTGAATGTTTTTACATCCACCAAAGCTTCTCCGTGAAGTGTGATTTGATTGTTGCATGTTGTAATGTGTCGGAGAATTTCGCTTTGTTTATGTTGAGACGTACTGTTTGTGAGGCTGATGCTACACTGGTCATCTTCTCCTGCATTTGTAATTGTGTATTCGGTAGAAGAGCCAGATCATCTGTGAAGTGTAGATAGTTCAGCTTCATCCTAGCTATGCATTGTGTCCCATGCTTTCCCTCAGATGTTGATCTCTTCATTATCCAGTCGATCACCAGGAGAAAAAAACGGTGAGAGTAAGCAGCCTTGTGTGACACCGGTCTTTCCTTCGAATGAATCTGTCAATTGTCCTCCATACATGATTTTTCAGTTTAACCCATCATAAGAATTCCATATGATGTTGACTATCTTCTCAGACACGCCATAGTATTAAAGAAACCTCCATAGTATTGACTTGTCCACGTTATCATATACTTTCTCATAGTTAATTAAATTGATGTCGAGTATTGATATAAACAAATTCGGTAATAGAAAAAAAGAATCCAGAATTCAGTAAAATAAAACTAAATAAAACTTACAATGCATTGTGATAAGTGATTGGTTTACATCATTATTATTAATATTATTATTATTATTATTGTTGCTATGGTTACTGATATCAAAATTGGCGCTAAATTTTTTTACTGTACTCATAATTGGTTGAACAGCTTGATAATATTGTGTTAATGTATCAATATTCGATTGTTTCTCTGTCATACAATTTTCATTATTATTATTATTATTATTATTATTATTATTATTATTATTATTATTATTATTATCATAATAATAATAATAATCTAATACATTAGATACATGAATTGATGGAATAGATTCTAATTCAGATTGTATTAAAGGATAATTAAATGAATTCATTTCAATATTTGTTTGTTTTATTGTAGATATAGTTGTATCTATAGGTGTTGGATACATTTTATCTAATTGTGTTATGATTTTAGATGAATTTATAGGTAAATAATGATTAATATTAGATAATTGTTCATTTATTGTATAATCTATTTCATGTAATATTGGTATATTATTGAAATGTGTCATTGATGATACAGTTGATAATGATAATGAAGATCCAGATGAAGAAGCTGAAGAGGTGGAAGAAGCGGAAGAGACGGAAGAAGTGGAAGAGGAGGAGGAGGAGAAGGATAAAGATGTAGATGTTTCAGCAGTTTGTGAAGTATAAATATCATCATTTTGTGTTGAATATAATTTAGGCATTGAATAAATTGTTGGTAATTTATTATTCTCTTCATGAATTATATATTTATTAAATGAATGTTTTATAGATGATTTTAAATGATTGGATTCAATCTGATCATTTGATTCATTTATTGTATCTATATTATTAACAATAATAAGGGAAAGAAAACATTTGCTAAGGGAATAAAAGATACATTAGATGAGACTATTGTTTTAACAGTTAAACGAGAATACAAGTAGATATATTAATTATACCGCCTAATACCACTCTCCATCCAAACCTGTCCTGAGTAATTCTTTCTAGTTCTTTCCAGTTGTTACTATTCATCCTTTTTATATCTTCTCCTATTTCTCGACGTAGTGTGTTCTTTGGTCTTCCTCTTCTATTTTTCCCTTAAGGATTCTAAGTTAGGGTTTGCCTTGTGATGCAATAAGTAGATATACACTCCGTAAAATATTTTGAAATCAGTATGATGTATATCAAAGGACGTGATTACTAGGGAATATAAATCGATGAGTATATAATTTATGGATGATATTTGAGGGATGTTTGAGTGACCTTGGTAATATACATCTACTTAGGTACTTTGTAACACCCGTTACCCGTCTTGGAGAAGCATAGGCCTCCCATCACGATTCTTCTCAAAATGATGCTTGCCTCGTGACTCAGTTTGATGATTTACACAATGTATGTCCTACACACCTTCAGCGTCTTTTCATAACTTCGTTTGTTGTCTACCGGAGTATCTTGTGTAGACAATTGTTTATAAATAACTGTACTTTTTGATGGTTGTAGTAGATGTCAAAGTTTCGGCCCCGTACAGTAGGACTAATTTGACGTTCGTACTGAAGATTGTGACTTTGATTTTAACTCTCAAACAGTTACTTTGAGTCCCCTATATTCTTCAGTTGTAAGAATGTAGTCCCTACTTTGTCAATCTTTGCCCTCACTTCTGCATCGGATTCCATTATTTTACCGATGATGTTGCCAAGGTACTAAGATCTTTCTACCTCTTCCTGATCGTCTCCATCAGCTGTGATTAGGTTATGCTCTTTGTGCTGTACTTTAGGATCTTGCTTTTTCCTTTGTGTATGTTGATACCTACTGATGCAGAGTCTTTTGGTACACAGTCTGTCTTCACTTGCATTAGTTCCTGTGTATGACATAGAAAAACTAGGTCATCTGCAAGGTCTAAATTGTCTGGTTGCATCCATGTTGTCCATTTTTTATTTAGCGCTACTTTTCAGATATCGAGGTTTTCATATTCTAGTCAACCATCAGAGAAAAGAGTAGGTTATTAGCTTTATCTGACAACTGTCTTCACTATATTTGGGGTCGCGGCCTCCCCTAAGGATGAAGGTTCCATGACAGGAGTAATTTGAGGACAAAGATGTTCTGAGATTTCTGAAGGAGCTCGAGGCCATGGCGGAGCTAGTAGAGGTGAGGGAGCCCAAGGTGAAGATGGTGGTGCTGTGGACGCTGCTAGGGGGCAGGGTAAAGGAGGTATGTGACAGCTTGGACGGTGCTGGAGGAAAGACGGTATGGGAAACAGTCATGGAGCGGTTGATCACGAGGCTTGACAGTCCAGTGGACAAGGAAGAAGCACTGCGGAAGTTCTGGCCGCAAAAATGACGATGGATGTTGACCTACTGGTGCTGGCTGTGGAGCTTACCAGGTTGTTGCAATGCGCGTTTCCGAATCTGGATGAAGAGTTGGAGACACAGTTGTTGGCGTCGTAGTTTATCGAGACCATTCCTGCCATCGTTTCTTAGCAGCTGAAACTAGTAAACGCTGCACAACCTATGGATATCAGTAAACTGACAAAATTAATCCGACAGTCGATGACCCGAACAATATCTCCAGTCGGATGTGAAAATCAGGAGATAAACAGTGTCGAAAAGAAGATTGAAGAGTTGCAGCCTGAGATTGCTACAATATGATTGAATTATAAAAGGAATGATAGGTGTTACGCTCATGAAGGGATAGGACATTCTATTCCTGACTAGCGTCATATACTACTTATATCAGCGCAAGTATCACACACCATAGCAATTTCAACTTACAATTAAACACCATAATATTTCATTAAATATAACAATGAATATGAATAATTATGATGATGCTCACTTAGAGAAACATCAAAGTCTCGAATAAAAAAGAAACATAATTAAAAGTACCTAGAAACATAGGAATTTATATCAAATTCAATTGAGTGTTAGACAAACAACTGTTATACAATGACAAGTCGAATGCCTTGGTACGGACGAGGGTGGGGAGAGTCAACTCTCCCTTTCCAAATGCTCTCACACGAACATATGCATACAATCACTGCCAGGGAAGTCCTACTCACTGCCTTCTCTCACTGTAATGAAGGAGAACATAGGTAAGGACAACCGATTATATCAATCTACTGCTGCCAGACATTATATTGCTGACTTGTGTTATATACTACTTATGTCAATAAAAGTAGCATACACCACAGCACCACAAGTGTTGTTTACGAAATTGAGGGGATGAAAAGCGAATGTCCAGTGGGGCTTGAACCGGTTTGGTGGATATGGAAGGCCCATATAGGGGGGTTGGTAAACCCTGATTCCAAATCAATGGTACACATGGGCTACAGGATCCTGAAGGAACAAATGGGGTATGAACCAATTGTTTGCCACCTGTTACCATGGGATCGCATCTCCTGACGTTTTTCCACTGCCTTGTGGATTAGACATTTCGGTCAAAGGCTCCAAATGTTGTTCCTTAAGAACATCACCTGCTTCGATCTAGTTATCAGGGAAGTATCACATCCTACACACAAATCAAGTAACTTGTGTGGCGTATATCCGTTCGATGCCTCCTTGTATCAATATTTAAGTGTTTAAATAAATAAATAAATAAAAATCATTACTTACTATTCAATAAAATTTCTGATAATAAACCATCTAATTTAGTAAAACCCATTTGATGTATAATTTGTAATTTATGAATCATTTGATAAGTAACTGATCGAAATTCTGGAATTAATAATAATAATGCACCGAAACGACCTTGTGGTAAATATAATTTACCATTCATTATATTCATTAATTCCATTTGTATTAGATATTGACAACTACGTATTAATAAACGTCCATTTTCTGATAATGATTCACAACCTTTTTTTTGTTGTTGATAAAAAGCAAACAAACAAAATAATTTTAAATGACAAAAGTTATAGATACTACTCATAAGATTGTTTTTAAGTAGTGTGTGATGGAAGTAAACTGTTTTAACTTTGTGCGATTGGTTCTTTGTTCTTTATCCCCGTAGCTAATTGTTATAACTTGTGGCTTGTGTACCGTGTTAATGTATAATGGAATGATACTACCAAATAGAAAGTAGTGAATTGTCGGTTGGACGCCTAAAACCTGTGCGAGCAGTCTAGAGTACTTAACGCTTGTGCTTCTGGATTTTTGTAAAATATATTTCCCCGTTCGGACTTTGACTTTTTTCTCTAATTAGCGGGGCTAGGATGCAACAGAAGAGCTCGTTTTTTGGTCTTTGGTCACAAGTCTTTGTTCCGTTCTCAGACTAAGTGAACTCGTAATCGCTTCAAACCTAGCAATAACGTCAAATAGAGTGAAAAGTTGGTGGAGAAGATTTATAGCTCAGATGGATGATTTTGATAGAGTTTTGTTCTCTGAGTCGGATGGATTGGTCGTGGAGTTTTCATAGGTATGTGGAAATTTTGGATAGAGGTAATTCCAAAAACACTAGGGAATTCTTAGAAGCTTGGCATTCAGGTCAATAAGTGGTCAACAAGCATATTGAAATCAATCCAATTTATCAGTGAATCAAGAAAATTATGAACTAACATATGACTAAAAACCAAACCAACGGGAGATACAACCAAAACAAAGAAGTAAACAGTGACAGGTTCAAGGTCAACAAGAACCAATCAACATCGAGGTGTACAGGATAAGCTGTGAACCACATGTGAAAAAATTCGAACACTTCACTTCTACCTGAAGTTTGTGATGATGTCGTTTAGAAGAACCATTCATCTCAGGATTGAAGAGTTTCAGTGTATTGAAATACATTTGAAAATCAGACAAGAGGGTAGTTCAGATGGTAGAATACACCGAAAGAAGAAAATGGACCATTGAAGGTTATATATGTTTATTATGTAAATACTTTGTAACTTCATAAAGTAAACAAATATTTCTCCTGCCTATCGTCTTATTTTAGACAAGTTTACTAATTATATTCATATAAGTGTAGTAAAGTGCTACTGATATCGACAGGTATAAGTAGTATATATCACCAATAGAAAGTGAAATACCTGGCATCAGAATGTTAAGAAGATCTAAGAGAAGAGAACAAGAACAGAGAGTGATTGCTGTGGAAACGAAGAAACAACAAATTGTAGGACAATTGATTAATATTTTATATGGTTCTCAGATTTTACCAAGATATTCTGTAATGTTCTGTTAAAACATTTTGATTGACCCAACTCGTTTTCCCGTTTATCACAGCATTAGTGGTAGTATAAACAGTGGATTATGTTATGCTCTTATGCCCTGCGAATATATATCACGCAATGTTTATCTCCAATTAAAGCACCAACTTATTGAACAGACTAATGACGCATAAACCAGTACGAGCAGTTTAGTGTCAAGTCTGTGTCCTCCAAGATAATAGCATCTCACCTAACTCAACCAGTTCAGTCCAGAACATTAATATTAGCGTCTGCTATAATAACCATGTATTTGAATGTGAGAGACTATTACTGATAAATCGGAAATAACTTATGAATAGTAAATCATATAATAATAGACAATAGATCAAATGAAAGCTTATAATAAAATGAATATGAATATACATGTAATAATAGTCCATAGATAGATCCTAGCAGTTATCATTCATTTATTCTTCGTCCGGATATAATAGAAATGGATGAGTGATTGATCATACTTGATAGATTGTAAGAGGAGTAGTGAAGTACATTAATACTCTGTGTTTATTAATTAATGTACTTAAATATCTTAGTTCTATAACGGAACAATCGATAACAAATTAGTGCACTTCTGAGGAGTCTCATAATAGAATGAAATCACCGTTCAGTGCTTCCAGGTTTCTCATGGTTGTCTAGCTTCAATTGACTTATGATAATATCCACGAAACCCCTTCCGATATAAATTAGCTTAGAATTAATTTTTATTGATTAAGAAACTGAATGATCTAAGTGTACATCCCATATAGACAATTAATTTCCTCAAGATTTCAGGTATCCAGTCCTGACACGTGTGCAATTGCACAGAACAAACGTCTATCTAAATGTATAAGTTAAATTCTTTTGTAAATACAAGTTTTATCGTTGTCTGATGTTCGAATCCCGCGAGCGGAATCCGGGATGCACACTACTAAGGAGTCCCATATTGAGAAGAAACAGTCAGCCAGTGCTTCCAGGTTTTCCATGGTAGTCTAGCTTCAATTGACCCATGAATTCAACTATAGAATTACGAAAATATCTACAAAACCCCTTCCAATACTAATCATCATATGCTCACTAGTAACATGGTTTCAAGAGGTATATCCTGGAGTTCTAGTGAGAAGCAATGACCAGTTGAGCTCAACCGGGTCTGTTGTGAGATAGTAACTCACTGAAGACAATGATGGATATGTCATCCGATTTCGTGAATTAGTTGAAGTGAGATATTAACACAGTTGGATGCCAGCCTGTTCAATGGTCTTGAGATTTAGCGTTCGCACGCAAGACCAATAGGTCCTGGGTTCGAATCTCATGAAGTGGAACCGTCGATGTGCACTGCCAAGAAGAAGTCTCACAATAGGACAAAACAACCATCTAGTACTTCCAGGTTTCGCATATTTGTCTAGCTTCAATTGACTCATGATCTTTGAATATACAAAAGAATACATAATAATAATAATAAAACCAATCTATTCAACACTATTCTTACATACTTGGATCAAAAAACATTATTGCTCTAAAACAAACAATTTCAATTTCATCTAAGCATAAATTTTGTATTGGTTGATAGATTTCATTTATAATCATATTAGCTAAATCAGCTATTTCTGGTAATGGATTTTGTCTTGATATAATACGATTATTACCTAATAAAATAAATTGTGGTTCATAATTAATAGATTGTAAATAAGTAGTATCTATTGTATTATCAATGATTTGATTCTTTTGTATTGACTGATCTCCATTATTATTATTATTATTATTATTATTATTATTATTATTATTATTCGTTGGTGTAGTAGTAATAGTTGTTGTGGTAGTAGTGGTAGTAGTAACAGTAGTATTCCATGAATTAGTTAATGTAGTTGTCGTCGTAGTTGTAGTAGTAGTAGTAACCATAGCAACAACATTTGAATCCAAGGTAATAGTTATATCATCTATAGTATCATTGATAGATGTATTGTCATTTTGATTCGTTTTTTGTTCAAAATATTTTGATTTTTCTATTTTATTATATTCATTTGATTTATTCAATGTTGGTCCTAATGTAATTGATCGCCATATAGCACCAAGAATAAGCATTTCACCAGCATGTGCTTGTAATAATGCAATCTATGAAAAGAAATTAGAAACAAAAATTTACTCATTCTTAAAGTCAAATGAAAATTGGACGACCAAAGAACACATCACATTGAGAACTAGAGACAGACATGAGAAAAATGAACAACGGTTGTATAGAACAAGAAAGTAAGGCTCAAGATAGAGTAGGTTCCAGAATGCTTGCCGGTGGTCTATGCTGCTCCATTGGGAATAACAAGCGTAAGTAAGTAATTAAGTACATTTTAATCTATAATCATACTTACTTGATCATTAATTGTTAATGATGTGAATACGGATAGATTTTTAGCCCATTCAATTAAAAATATTAATTGAGTACGTATTGATTCACAAATATCATTAATATTAGCTACATTATTTTCATTAGACCTGGAAAACCACGAAAGCCATCATCTAGAAGATACAGCTGTTTATTAACAGTTGTCTACGCCAAATACTTTGGATCCGTTGACCTGACACTATTAGCAACAACCAACTGTGGGAAAGTACAAACCAGATCCCAGCGGAGGAAGAAGCGGAGGAAGTGGATAGGACACACGTTGAGGAAAGCACCGAAATGAGTCACAAGACAAGTCCTCATATGGAATCCTCAAGGCCAAAGGAGGAGAGGAAGATCAAAGAACACATTACACCGGGAAATGTAGACAGACATGAGAAGAATGAACAAGAATTGGATGGAAATAGAAAGGAAGGCCCAAGACAGAGTATGTTCCAGAATGCTTGTCAGCGGTCAATGCTCCTCCATTGAGAATAACAGTCGTAAGTAAGTAAGTAAGTAAGTACATTTTGATCTATAATCATACTTACTTGATCATTAATTGTTAATGATGTGAATACAGATAGATTTTTAGCCCATTCAATTAAAAATATTAATTGAGTACGTATTGATTCACAAATATCATTAATATTAGCTAAATTATTTTCATTTAATTCTCCATAATTTGATTGTTCATTATATAAATCTGATGATTTTTTAGTGATATTAATATAATTTTGATGAATTGCCTATCAATAGAAAAAGGAAAAAGCAAAAGATTTATTAAGAAATGATTATGGATTGATTCATATAATTGAATAGTTAGATTATCATGGCAAAACCTGGAAGCAATAGACGACTGTTTCGTCCTACTGTGGGACTCCTCAGTAATGTGCATCCACGATTAAGTGTTCACACATGAAACTGATTAGTCCTGGGTTCGTGTTATGCCTGTGGGATTGTGGATGTACATTGTTGAGAAGTTTCATAGTAGGACGAAACGACCATCCAGTGCCTTCAAGGTTTCCATGATGATCTAGCTTTATTTATTTATTTTATTTTAACACATATATATTGGTACAACGAGGCACCAAATATATATGCGCCACACAAATCTCATTTGATATGTGTGAGGGCTGTGATACTGCTCGGGTGCCCAAACCGAAGCAGGTGGTTTTCTTAAGGGGCAACACCCGGAGCCTTCGACTTGAAGGTCTGATACACAAGGCAGTGGAGCATTGTAAGGAGATACAGTTCCTTGGTAGCCGGTGACCAACGATTGGTTCATACGCCATCTGTTCTTTCAGAATGTTGGAGCCCATGTGTTATATTGATTTGGAATGAGGGTTTTCCAACTCCCCTATGTGAACTCTCCATATCCACCAACCTGGTTCAAGCCCCCACCGCCACGAGAAGGCAGTGAGTAGGACTTACCTGGCAGAAACTATATACGCGTGGCAATGTGAGAGCATGTGGAGAGGGAGAGCGGACTCTCCCCATTCTCGGCCGTACCAAGGCTTTAACTGACTCATGATCTCTATTATTAAAATTAATATAATATCCACAAAATCCCTACTGTTAGTAATTTAGTAGTTGAATTCATGAGACAATTGAAGCTGCTAGAAAATCATGGAAAACCTTGAAGCACTGTACGACCTATTTTTTCTAGTATGGGACTTCTTCAACAGTGCGCATCTATAATCTCGCAAACAGGACTCAAACCCAGGACCTATCCATCTCGTTTGCGAACACTTAATCGTGGATGCACATTGTTGCGGATGAAATGGTAGTTCAGTGCTTCCAGGTTTTCCATAGTGGTTTAGCTTTAATTGACTCATAAATTCAACTATTAAGATGACTACAATCTCTAAAAAACATCATTCATATAATTGAATAGGGCAATTCATTTTAAATTTTTAAATTGTATTTTTCAATAGTTATCAGTTTCATCAAAGACATGTGTTTCGTCTCATTTAGGACTCTTCAACTGAATATACTTACATCTAAATAATAGGCATTCACAATTGAATTTCAATTCGGTATCTTTAATAATAAATTATGACTAAATAATAATTCACTTAGGATGTATAATCATAAGTAATGTGTAACCCTCAATTTTTATGACTACTTTGTATAGAAGATTATCTATGAAAAAATATGACTGTAGACCAGATTAGTAAGCATTAATTAGAGCCAATTATGATTGATATCAGAAGGGGTTTTGTGGATCTTATCGTGATTTTACTAGTTGAGATCATGAGTCAATTGAAGCTAGACCACCATGGGAAACTTGAAAGCACAAGACGGTCGTTTCGTCCTATTTTGGGACTCTTTAACAGTGCGCATACACGATCCCACCCCGTGATATTCGAACACAGGACCTATCAGTTTCACGCACTAATGCCTAACCTCTAGATCACTGAGTTGGCCAGTCTCTATCGGTGTTAATATCTAACTTCAACTAATCTACGAAACTAAGCCACCGTCCACCACTGTCTTCAGTGAATCGCCATCTCACCACAGACCCGAAAAAACTCTACTGTTCACTGCTTTCCACTAGAATCGCAAGAAATACTTCTTGAAGCCAATCACTAGTGATCATATACTATGATTGAGTCAACTGAACAGTTTGTTAAACGTTGTATGGTACATGTGTCATTCTAACGAACTGACTTTTCTTTTTCTCTTAAAATAATATTGGATCGAAGTTAAAATTTCAATCCATAACAAAAGTATGGATAACAAACTCTGAAGGTTCTTTTTGAAACAACCGAGATATTCTTGTTGCTATGTACGTAAATTTTTGTAACCAACATATAAGACTATTGAGAACAGATAACACTCTAATTTAGACAACCATTGAAGATCTGAAAGCAATGGATAGTCATCTCACATCAATACATAACATCTCAACAGTATTGATCTACGACCCTGAAATCGGAAGTGAAACTCAAGATCTTTTGTCATCCACTCAAACATTTAACCTCTTAACCTCTAAAGTGAGCTGAAATCCATTAGTTTACATGTCTAATTTCAATCAATCCATAACATTTTTCGAACATTCTATTTTTTCTGTAGATAACTTTTTTCCCACTTAACACAACTAAACTCTACCGATCATGGCTTTTCATTAGAATTTACAGATGAGCGCTACTTAGAAGTTTCAGATAAGAATGAAACGACTGTCCAGTACTTCCAGATTTTCTTATTAGTCATCTAACTTGAATCACTTTGTAATCTCGATAAAAACCAACAATCGTCACAACCCACTCGCTGAGGCCTTATGCTATGGGCATAACCCTATATTAGGAAAAATATAATAAACATAAAACATAAATTCACTTGGTATTGTTTGGCTTGTATCTTCCCATTGAGTATTTTTTTAAGACTGCAATTGATCAGTCTGTTATTGGGATATGTGCATGCTGTGCGTATGCCTCGATATTGCCCATTTTCTGTAATGGGGAGATACAAGCCAATTTAAATTCACCCCATTGCATAATCAAGTGGTTATCAGGACTCAGTAGCTGAGTGGATAACGCGATGGAGTTTGAAACGAATGGTATTGGGTTCGAGTCACAGAGTGAAACATCAAATCAGATGCAGGTACATCCAGCTGACGAGTCCCAAATAGGACAAAGTGCCTGTCCTGGATTCCACTGCTAGCCACTATCCATCATTGCTTATAAAACATAAATTCTCATACTTTCTTACTGATTATTACTGTCATAAATATGATACGTGGCAACAAAGAAACTTCAAAACACACACACACACATTTCATACATTGAACATTGAATACAATGTAAACACTGTCACAATAGGACGTACACAATTAGCTATTGCTTCAGCTTGTAATAATTTTTGTAAATCAATACTTGAATGAATTGATGAATTAGGATCATAAGTTGTATGACGATTACTTATTTTATCACGTTCTTTTTGTACAGCTAAAAAGAAATTTTAAAAGATTAAATAAGTGAATAATCAATGAAATATAGATCAAATAGTTGAATTCATAAGTTGATCCAAGCTAGATCCCCGACCGTTGTTGCTACCTTGATGTAGTGGTCGGGCTTGTCTATCGTGATGAAGCAATCGAGCTATACTGGCTGCAACAATCGTTTCTCAAGGTCCTACCATGTCGGACAGGTCGGTTGAAGAGCCGTAGGATTAAAAGCAACAAACCTAAGGTCCGAAGGCGAAGTCATACTGATGACTGTACAGAGGTGTGACAGCAGTAAGGTGTCTCCTTCAGACAACCACCATGACAGCGATGCTACCTTCCCACAAGGAGGGGTGGGGTTAGAAAAGGTCGACCCTAAAAATACACACCTCGCCTTATCCCAATGATATCCGTCTCTGACAGTAGGGTCTCAACAAGTACGGAGCTAACGCAAAAATTACTCATAAAAAGGTAGTGTATGACCGATCACAAGCAGTTGTCCTTTGGGCACTGCGGTCACGCTCTCAGGTCACTAAGACCACCTTTAATCCAATTTCCTTTTCAGGTACCTCCAGAAGAACCCTTCCACGGTGTGGGCAACCGGGAAGTGATAACCGCCCTCATACCTCTAATAGCACTCAAGACCATTATATATCAAGCTATATCACCGTGGAAAACCTGGCAGTACTGAATGGCCGTATAGAACTTCACAACAGTACGCATCCATGACCTTGCACGCGAAATTCAGACCCAAGATCTATAAATGTCGCACGCGAACGCTTAACTTCTAAACCACTGAGTGCGAGACCAAAAATCCCGTGTTTGAATTCATCTAGCGGGATCGTGAGTGTGCACTGCTGAGGAGTTCCATACTAGGATGAAACGACCGTCCAGTGCTTCCAGGTTTTTCATGGTGGCCTAGTGTCAATTAATTCATGAATTCAACTAAGATTTCCATAACACCCTCTTCCGATAAACATAAATCAATTAATTGAATTATTATACTTAGTTGATTCAATCAGTTTTCTGTTTTAATTGTGCGCCTGTAGGATTAAATGATTTTTTAAATAATGGACTGATTTTAGCTAGATAACCATTGATAATTTGAAAGCTGTAGTTAGATGTTTCACCCTATTATCGGACTTCTCATCAGTATGTATCTACGACTCCGAATCTCCAAATATAACCCAGGATCTTTTGTCTTGTACGCAAATCTCTGACCACCAAACTACTGGGCCGGTATCCAACTGAAACTGTAGTGAACGAGAACATAAGTGGAGATGCAAAATTACACAACATCTTAGTAAAATCTGATAACAATACATTAAATACTTGATTTGAAAAATGTCAATCAATCGTCTCAATCTTCATTATTCCTTCATTTCCACAACAATTATTCGTTGCTCTAGTTCTCTTTTCCTTGATATTTTTAACCTTCTACTCCTAAGCATTTCACTTTCTATTGACGATATATACTACTTATATCTGTCAACATCAATAGCACACATCACACTAGGAAGTCGGTGTCTAAACGTATTCAAGTATAAATGTATCATCATCAAATATTTCAAGGTTATTTATGGTTTTTAATTTAAATAAATACAAAAACTGAATCCGAGTAATCATCATATCAATAGTTTACAAAGATAGAGCACACTGATTCACATTAAAGAAGTGAATGCATTCATATTGATTTGATGGCAAGGCTATGATTTATGTACGAACCATTCAGATTTAAGATAACAGGTCTTGGATCATCCATTCGTCCATTCGTCCAAATAGCATCTTGGCATTTAAGCTGATATCAGTTCGTGATGAAAACTGTAAATCTAATTCCTAACTCTTAACATCAGTTGTTAGTGATTAGCTTTATTCCTCAAACTGCTTTATAACCTTCATTTAGTCCTAATAAGTAGGTAGACCCTCTCAAGGTCACTTTGGCGTTGCTCAAAGATCGTTTATATATTATAGTCTCACTGAGATTAAAATATTTCATAGAACCAGTCCACTATGTCTAATCATTTGAATGGACTCAATAAATTTGTACACTAGCTTATTTCATATCTGATGAACAATTGATATTTTAGTGGTTGAAGATACTACGGTCTTAACTCATAGATTCCAGGTTCGAATCCCATCATACCTACCTTGCTTTGGACAACCATGTAGTATTACTTGTTCTTATACAAACTACATAGAACCGAGACTGAATACCTAGATAAACATTTTTGATGGTTACATTCGTAAGGACATCATTTTCTACATGTAGATCATTCATAATTTCCATTTGGAATCCTCAAAACTAAAAGAAAAAAAGAAAACTAAAGAACACATTACGCTGAAAAATGGAGATAGACATGAGAAGAATGAACAACAATTGAATAGAACTAGAAAGGAAAGCCCAAGACAGAATGGGTTGAAGTATGCTGTTCAGCGGCTTTTGCTACTCCATCAGGAGTAACAGGCGTAAGTAAAGTAGGTAAGTAAGTATTCATAATTACAATAGAAAGATACAATTTTATTTCTTACCAGATTCTTTCATACCAACACGAAAACATTTACGAAAACGACAAAATCTACATTGATTACGTTTATCTTTTGTCACAATACAATTTTTCTTATGACGACATGTATATGAATGTTTACGACGTACAGAACGTCGAAAAAATCCTTTACATCCATCACATGAATAAGCACCATAATGTTTACCTATACATGATGAAAATTAGAAGGAAAAAAAACGAAGACAGAACAAAGTTAATTCCATGGAACGAGATCAGAAAGTTCTACTTGAATGGGTCGAAAATAAATCAATCTATAATCGATTGATCACTGAGTAGTGATCAATATCATGTGTGTCAAGTCCTTCTTAGTGCGGATTGAATGCTATCGAACAAGTTGAAATATGTCCACTAGTCTAGATGATTCAACATTGCTTGCACTATGTTGAGATAAGATGGTGGTTGGAGGTAATCAATAGGAAACCCTGTAATCTTGAGGGAACTGGTGCTGCTTGATTACAGGTACACCTTGCTGACGAGTGCCAAGTAGCACGAAACCCGAGTCCAAGGTTACTTGTTGACTACCTCTAACCAACATCTTATAAATGAATCTAGTTTGATCTATTTAAAAACATTCTATTCCCGTAAAGTTTCAACTCTGCCTGGAGCCCCTCTGGAGCTACTGCCAATCTCAAGCCCGGAAAAATGAGGAGGGTTAGACATGAAGTTAGTGACCGCAACCCGTAGAAAACTTATTCACTAAAAAAACGCTAATCAGAAAAATTATTCCGTAAGGTCTTCCCCCTTCTTCAATCTTACTTTGGATGCTAGATTATATACAAAAATAAAACAGGGTAATAATAAGATGATAGGCTCTGTTTTGTTCTGGCTATGATACAATGATTCTAATAGCTTTGCTTCGTTAATCAATCAACTCAATAATCGTTAGAATATAAATCTCAAAAATGTTTGAAATCCGAAGGTAATGGATAAGCAGCAACTACAGTTTATTAACAGATAGCACAGATCACAAAGTAATAAGCACATCAAGAGAATTTCAAGCGGAGAGACGAGTACATAAGCAAATTTGTAGTCGAATCGCATAAGGGCACAGGAAGGCAAATTAAAAGGTAATAATAGGATTTGCATACATCATGAGGAGGAGGAGGAGGATGAGGATGAATAATCGATTGATATTTAAGCAATCAACATTTTAGCTAGAGTCTGTCATGTATTCTAGTGATCATAACAGTACAAAGAAATAGACGAATTGTTACTATTCAATTAACATTGTCTATTAATTAAGTTAATAAAAAAGGTTTAATCAAAATTGATTGTAGGATAGTTGCTATGTGAATAATAACCAATTTGGCAATTATTTAATCAGGATAAGATTCACTAAACTTGAAGATGTTCCATACAATCTTGTATTAGATGAGGAGAGCATCTTGGCTAAGAACTTAAAACTTGGACTGAACAACAGATAGGTAATAGCTGATTTCTAGTAATTTATCAGGTGATATCATGAGTTTATGATTATTTATATATATGTGGATGCCCTGAAGACATTATTCTATATACATAGAAAATTATCACTAGGATGCAAGTACTTCGTTATAACCACTTCATAACAGATCCAATCAAGTGTTATAGATTTCACTGCCAGTTACATATCAAGTATAACTCCGCTTGGAGTCCCTCTAGAGGCTACTACCGGTCCCAAACCCGGATCGAGGAGGAGGGTTGGCCATGTGGTTAGCGACCCCATTCCGTAGAAAGCTAACTCGCTAAAAAAAACACTAACCAGAAATACGTATCAAGTATACTTAAACTTCTTTAATAGCAGTATATAGAGACAATCTACCAAGAAATCATATATGACACAGAGACTCTTTCAGTCGGAGTCCTGAGTAAAAAACTCCGAAAATATAAACCTTTGCTAACTGGTAGTTTTACTAAAAAAAATTGATTAATTTTAAGTTGACAGTTTTTATAAACTCTCATTATCATAATTTAAACTGCAGTGCCATCATTATTTAAGTGCGTACAACAGAACAGGAATAATTATTCAATACCAGAAGAGGTTTTGTAGAGATTGTAGTAATTTCAATTGTTGACATAATAAGCCAATTGAAGTCAGACCACTATGGAAAAACTGAAAGCACTAGACGGCCGTTCCGTCTTATTATGGGACTCCTCAGCAGTGAACATCCACGCTCCCTCCTCGCGATATTCAAATCCAATGCTTCCAGGTTTTCCATGATGATCTAGATTCAATCAACTCATGATTTCAACTATTGAAATTATTCAATACATTTAATTATAATGAGGGCGGTTCCCATGGAAAATGTTGTAATACATTTTATACTACTTACGAGTATTAAAATGCATAATTAGAAACAATATTATGAAAAGGTTTCATGGACAAAGAGGTATTTCCTGGAGTTCTAGTGAGAAACAGCGACCAGTGGAGTTCAGCCGGGTCTGTTGTGAGGTAGTAACTCACTATATACAATAATAGACGGTGGCCGAATTTTGGGGTTTGATTCAAGTAAGACATTAACACCGTTGGATGCCGGTCGGCTCAGTAGTCTACATATTAATCGTTCGTTGGCACGAGACCGATAGGTCCTGGATTCGAATATCTTGTGGTGGGATCGTGTATGTGCACTCCTGAGGAGTTCCATTCTATGACCAATTGGATTTCCAGTGCTTCGAGGTTTTCTATAGTTGTCTGACATCAATTGACTCGTGATCTCAACTATCGAAAAAGATAATCATTGTCCTCATTAATTTTCAATTTTTACAGGAACTATTATGTAATCTTTTTAAACAAAGACGGTCATGGCTAGCAGTGGAATCGAGGACGCGCGTTTCATCCTACTTTGGACTCGTCAGCTGGATGTACCTGCATCCCGGAGTTGATGTTCACTCAGGGACTCTGAATATATCTGTTAAATAATGCTATTATCAAACTTTTTTCTGATAGTAGTAATCATGTCTAACATGGAATTCAATCAGCCTCGATTGAATATATATCTATATATTTGCAAATCTATCACCATTCATACTCTTTTCTCTCAGTCAATATCGTCCCATGATATTTTCATGCCAGGTGTTGTCCATTCCGACTTTGGCGTCGAGGTTTCCCATCAAGATGGTAAGATCCTGTAACAAACCGAACTTTATTGTCTTCATTGCTATTACTGATGGGTGCAGAGCTTTGGATAATATTCATTGTATTTTCCTCCTTCTTTATTTTGAAGCGTGCTTTGGTGATTCTGGATCCATGAGATTCCCATCTACAAGTGCTTTTTGTACTTCTTTGGACAGCATCAGAACAACTCCCTGAGTATATGGAATAATTTTCTTTTCATTACCAGAGTACAGCAGCATCTCTCCCCAATCCATCCTTTTCTATTCCGCTTAGGTGCAATAGGTTTCACTGATTCCGAGCACTATCAGATTGTATCTCCTCATTTCCTTTGGTATATGACTGGTTCTCCTGGTCTCTCCTATAATCCGAACATTCCATGTACCTATAATAATTGTTCCTGTGGTTGTTAGAAGAGGCATCATCCTCGTGATTTCCAAAGAATCTCGGCTTTCATCATAAGGCGTCATAATTCTTCCTTGAACACGTAGGACAAAGTTGAAATGATCAGATTTGTTTTATTGGGAATAACAGACGTAATTAAGTAAGTAAGTAAGTAAGTAATTAGGTAAAGTACAAAATATCGACATAAATATCACACATCTCAAGTACACTTAATTTATCAATGAGATATATCTTTTTTTTTCATGTTTACATTACATCAAATCTAATTTCTTATCATTAAAATCACTTACATAGTAGAAACATAGAAACAATCATATAACATGGTACCTAATCAACCATAACAACAACAACAATAAACTCAGTACAAAGAAAACACTTGTATAATTTACGTAATGAAACACACTTATATATATATTTACCATTTGTGGCTGATAAGTTTACACATTCACACACACGCGCACGCACACACGCACATTCACACATACACATACATACAATATTGATATATCACACAAGTAAGTTATTTTAATTTATATCCATGTTAAATTTATTGTATCCATTATAGAAACATTTTTTGATTTATTTCAGTGTAATGAAAAATAGTATTTCCTCACCATCAAAAAAACAACACACACACACACACAAACACAAACAAACTGTATTAAACTGATTGTGAAGTTTTTTTTATTTTTCTTGATTGAGATCATGAATCGAGTGATATTAGACCATCATGGAAAATGGTAGTCTTAAGTGCTGTTGGTGTCTGACAAAATCTCAGCACGGATTTGAAAAGTTTGTTTAACTTTTGCCAACTTATGTCACTTATGGTGAAACTTAGATATCCGTCTATCAATTGAAGGATGAGTATACTGCGCTGCAGTTCGTTCTGTTTTATTTTACGGTTACGAAATGTGGCCATTAAGAGTAGAAAATACTCGTAAGTTACTAGTATTTGATCACAGATACTTTAGAAATATTGCTCGCATCTGCTGGGATCACCGGGTAAGCAATAGTGAGGTTAGACTTAAGGTATTAGAGAATGGTGGTAAATCAGTTGATGAAGTTGTGAATCTTCATCGAATGAGATGGTTCAGCCACGTTTAGCATATGCCTGAATACCGATCACTACAACGCGCAATGCTGACTAGTGTTGGATATGGTTGGAAGAAAATTAGGGGCGGCCAAACCAAAATGTGGCATCATTGTTTGAAGCCACTAACTTCTAGTGTGAGCCATATTGGTAGAAGCAGACTATTCGGTTGGGGTCTGCGTAACTATCGTAACCAATGGTTGGAGACTGGGTGATATATGGCTCAGAATTGATCACAATGGCGTAGGTGTATACACTCTTTGTCTTCCCTTAAATTATGAGATGAAGATTGGACAACCTTGGAACGACGCCAAAGAGATCTTGGGAATGTCCACCAACATACAATTGATGGTTGGGATAGGAATTAGATCTAGGGTTTTCATTATGAATTGACAACAGCTAAAATACCAAGACGCTATTTCACCGAATGGATGAATGGATTTCGCGCCAAAATCCAAAGCCTATTATCTTATCCCTGATTGGTTCGTCTAAAAATTCGAGTCATACCTATAATGTCTCAATATATACGAAATAGCTGAATAGGAAATATTCATAAATAATCAAATTACTGATCAAGTTTTCTTAAATCACTTAATATTTAAAGGTAGATTCATTATATATTCAATAAACAAACTTATTTTTATACTTTTAATATTTGAGATCATGAGTCAATTTAAGTTAGATCACTATGGAAAACCTGGAAGCACTAGACGGCCATTTCGTCCTATAGTAAGACTCCTTCTTGGCAGTGTGCATCCACAATCCCACATTGCGAAATCCGAACACAGAATCTATCAGTCTTGCACGCGAGCTCTTAACCACTAGGTCACTGAGACAGCATCCAACAGCGTTAATGTCTAACTTCAACTAATCCACGGAATTGAACGACGTAGTGAGTTTCTATCCCACAACAGACCTGGTTGAACTCCACTGGTCACTTTAATTATTGTTACGTAATAAAAAGATTAAACTCTTTCTGTGAGATTTATTCATCCTGAGATGAATTCTCTGTAGGATTGTGGATGTACACTGACAAACAATTCTGTGCTGAAACGAACCAACCACCCAATGTTTCCGAACTTTTATTCATTTTCTAACTTAGACTTGTTCATGATTTTAACAACATTAATCGTGTAGTACCAAGAAGATTGTAAGATGATGGAAGAGATTTGTAAATCATATGGATGATTTTGATGAAGTTTTGTTCACTGAGCTGAATGGTTTACTCGTAGAGCTTTCATTGTTCTTCTGAACGAATATGATGTTCACAAGAATGATGAAAGCTCAATGAACAAACCATCCAGCTCAGAGAAGAAAACTCCATCAAAAACAAGAGGACTATCTTAAACATAAGAATTCAGGCTAATGGATTCATTTCAGTGTACAATAGTGAATTAGTAGTACTTAAGATTTTCCTAGTACATTGTTCAATATAATGGATGATATTAGTTTAATATGGAAATTAATTCTTATATTGTATAAAATCTTAATAAAACCATTTTACCAAATAGTAAACCAAAAATAAAACTGATATATAAATGTTCATTCATGTCTGAAGTGGGAACATCAATTTTGAGATGCAGGTACATTCAGCTAACGAGTCCCAAATAGGACGAAACGTGCATCAAACGGCAATAAACTGCTAGCTCCTAACCGTCTTCGCTTATAAAGCTTGTGACTTAAGGTAATATCGAAAACAGTTCACACAGGATGCAGGTATCCCAATAAGAGATAGACTGATCATTTTAAATCCTAAATAACAATGAGAAGATACAAGTAAACAATACTAAGTGAATTTAAACTTCACTCTGTTGCAGAAGTAAGTGGCTATTAGAACTCAGTAAGTGAGTGAATAACGCGATGGCGTTTGAAGTGAACAATACTGATGTTCGAGTTCCGTAGTGAACATCAACTCTGAGATGCAGGTGCATCTAACTGACGAGCCCCGAGTAGGACGAAACGCGCATCCTGTATTCCACTGCTAACCACTATCCATCTTTGTTTATAATGCTTGTGACCTAAGACAATATCGAGGCAATCTGCACAGTACGCACATGTGCTAATAAGAAACTGATCAATTGCCATCCTAAACATCAATGGGAAGATTCAATTAAACAAGAATATCATTATTATTACCATACTAAGTTACCAAATGATTAAAACTAGATCTGTAAATCATTTGATGCTAATTCAATGATCTAAAAGTTGATCCATTTAATTCTATTTGGTAATCATTAACTAGATATATATGTATCTTAGAGGTTATTTACACTTTGTGACTCGAACCTAGTACTTTTCTTTTCAAACTTCATCATGTTATTCACTTAGCTAGTGATTCCAAGCGCAGGAAGTGGATAGAACACATATTAGGGAAAGCACCCAATTTCGTCACAACACAAGCCCTCATCATTTGAAATTCTCAAGACCAAAGGAGAAGAGGAAGATCAAAGAACACATTACACCGAAAAATGGAGACAGATATGAGAAGAATGAACGACATTTGTATAGAACTAGAAAGGAAGACTCAAGACAGAGTGGGTTGAAGAATGCTGGTCGATGGCCTATGCTCCTTTATTGGGAATAACAGGCGTAAGTAAGTAGTTATTCCAAGTCGTATGAACTTTAGGATACAATTCCATCCATTTGACAAATCTTAAATAGAATTTAAAAACCACACATACCAAATTTCATTCTTAATTATTATTATTCATCATTCCTCATAACATCAACTTACCTGTTGCTTTATCTTCACATATAAGACATAACATACCAGATTTAAGTATATTTTGATTTCGACATTTTACCTCTTCATCAGCATCATCATCATTATCATCAGAAATAGATAATTTTGTTTGTGATTTCATACGATTATCATTTGAATGTCGAATAGTATGTTTTGTTGTTGCTTCCAAAGGATTATTACTACTATGATTATTGTTAGAAGTAGTAGGTGTAATAGTAGTATCAATTCTGTTATTACCATCTTCAATATCTTGTTGTTGTTGTTGTATTGGATGATTAGGATGTAATGTGAATAAATCAATGGATTCATGATGATGTTGATATTGTGGATCATTTAAATAATATTGATAATAATTATAATTTGATGAACATGATAAGTTAGGTTGATGAAGATAAGAATTGATAGAATAATCTGTATTACGTAGAGTGACAACAACTCCAGTTGTTACTGCTACAGCAGCTGCAGCGGCGGCGGCTGCTGCTGCTGCTGCCATAGCTGCTGCAGTAGCAGTAGCAGAGGCATCTGTTGAAGCATTAGTTACATTATGATTAAAAGATAATTCATTATCATTGATATCTTCAATATATGATGTTGTATTATGAGTAGTAGTCATTGAAGATGTATCATTTATTGGAAATAGATGTTCATCTCTATCCACTGTATAATGTATATAAGGTTGTTGTAATTGATTATTACAAGATGAATGATGTCTTTGTTGAGAAGGATCAAGGTGATTATGTTCATAATGATGATGAAGATGATGATCATGATGATGATGATGATGATGGCGATGGTCATGATGATTACGATAATAATCATTATTATTATGAATGTAATTGTTTTGTTGACCTGTATGATAAATAGGATCTTTAATTGATGGAAATGTTACATAATTTGTAACATAATGAATGGATTCAGTATTATTGATTGTTTTTTCATTATGGTCCATTATAACATTGACAAACTGTTATTTTGTATTCTAAGTTATATAACAGATAAAGATGAAAATGTATACATATTAAAGATGGATGATCTTATAGATATGAATCGATAAAGTACTTAGTAGAAAACGTTCATAAGTCAACTGAAACTAGACCATTATGGAAAACCTAGAAGCATTGGACAGCCGTTTCGTCCTAATGTATGACCCTTCAACAGTGAACATCTACGATCCCACTTCGACAGATTCGAATCCAGAACCCATTGGTCTCGCACGCGAGCGCTTAAACATTAGGCCATTGAACCGGCATCCAATGATGTCAATCTCTTACTTTAATTAATCTACGAAATTGAGTGACACATCCATAATTATCTCCAGTGAGTTACTATCTCATAACAGACCCGATTGAAGTCCACTTGTCACAGCTTCCCATTAGAACTTCAGGCAATATCTCTTGGAGATAGTCACTAGTGAGCATACGATGATTATTATCAGAATGGATTTTGTTGAGATTTTAGTTTTTTAATGGTTGAGATCATGGGTCATTTGAAGCTAGACCACCATGGAAAACCTCGAAGCACTAGATGGCCATTTTGTCCTAGTATATGACTCCTCAGCAGCGCGATTCCACGATCCCACTTCGCGAGATCCGAACCCAGGACCTATCGGTTTCACACGCGAGCGCCTAACCATTAGACCACTTAACCGGCATCCAGCGCTTTTCATCTCTTACTTTAACTAATCCACGAAATCGCGCCATCGTCCACCGATTCATGTATTCAACTATTTAAATTGCTTTAATATCACACAAAAGCCCTTCTGATGATAATCATCATATACCTACTAGTTACTGGCTTCAACAGGTATTTCCTGGAGTTCTATTGAGAATCGATTGATGAATTCATAGGTTACATATCTTTGAGAGGGTATCTTTCTGAAATGAGACTTATCTGATTTTGGAAAGTTTGTGTAGATGAATACAATCCGTATTGTGAATTGAATATACGTTGAAATGTTTCTAAAATATATACTAAATGATATTCTTTCTCGATTATTATGAAGTTATGGAGATTGTTAAATCGTATTGAGATTACTAACCACTGAAATGATAGAAGTAGTAGATAGACGTTTCATCGTAGTATTGGACTTTTTAAAAGTAGAGATCGACACTTGTACAATCAGGAATTGAATTCAGATCATTTTTGTTTCCAAAGTAAAATCTTAACCTTCAAACCACTAGACCCTAATCCAATGATCTTTCTATATAGTTTGGTAAATTAACACTAGGTTATAAATATCAAGCACGAGCAGTATATTTACAACTGAAGGATATCTGTAACTCAAAACAACTATCTGTCAACTAACATCAAGGTCAGAATTTTCAGTACAAATGTCATGATAGTTCTACTGTATGCGGCGGAAACTTCGAGAACTACGAAAGCCATCATCCAGAAGATACAAGTGTTTATTAGCAGTTGTCTACGCCAGATACTATGAGCAACAAACTACTGTGTGAGAGAACAAACCAGATTGAAGTGAAAGAAGAAATTAAGAAGAAGCGCTGGAACTGGATAAGACACATGTTGAGAAAAGCACCGAACTTCATCACAAGACAAGCCTTCACACGGAATCCTCAAGGTCAATGGAAAAGAGGAAGACCAAAGAATACATTACATTGAGAAATAGAGATAGACATGAGAAAAATAAACAAGAATTGGATGGAACTAGAAAAGAAGGCCGATGCAGAGTGGGTTGGAGAATACTGGTCGATGGCTTTTGCTCCTCCATTAGGAGTAACAGACGTAAGTAAGTAAGTATAAATATCAATACCAAGGTTAGACTTGATAGTTTCAAATAAATTGGGCATTGGATAGAATGTTAATAATAAATATATTTTTTGTTATATATGAATTCAACTGTTAAAATTACTACGATCTCCATAAATCCTTCATTCTGATGATTATCATATACCCACGAGTGACTAGTTTCAAGATGAATTTCCTGGAGTTCTAGTGAGGTGCCATGATCATTGAGGTTCAATCCATGTCGGATGTGAGACAGTTATCTACCTCAGACAACAGATGAAATATCGCGCCAAATCATGAATCGATTGAAGTTAGACACTAACACTGTTGGATGCCAATTAAGTAGTGTAGAGCTTAAGTGTTTACCGTGCGAGATCGAAGACTTTGGGTTCAATTCCTATATCTGTAATCATGGATGCTCTCTCTACTGAACAGTCCAATACTACAACAAAGCAGTGATCTAGTACTCTTAGATTTTAATTAATGATTTATCTTAGATCGACTCATTGAATTCAACGGGTTACATTAAAAGAATCATCAGATGAACATAAAAGTAACACAAAAATAATAAATTCGATTAAAGGTCAAAATCACTGTTACATAATAAGTGGGTAGATCAACATTATTGTAAATAAGAATAAAAAAGAAATAATCGATAATGTATCATTGAATGAATCAAACACTGAATGATAAATGTTTGTACATATTGAATTATGATCACATACATTTTGACATGTAACTTTAAATAGACAGAATAAACAACAAAATATAGTTGAACTCATGAGTTCATTGAAGCTAGACCATCATGGAAAACCTGAAATCATTCGATGGTCGTTTCATCTTATTGTAGGACTTTTCCTTGGCAGTTCATATCCACGATTCTGATTCGCGAGACTCGAACCCATGACCTATCGGTTTCATGCGTGAGCGTTTAATCACTAGATGAGGTATCCAACGATGTTAATGTCTAATAACAGAAAGTATATATCTTTGGAATCTAGAATAAGTCTTCGATTTTTATAGGACTTGTCGGTTAGGTGTCTCTATATCACAATATTTATGAATCACATTGAGATCTGAGGTGTTTACATTTCATTTTAAAACTTTAACTCATTAGATTTCAGCATTAGTCACACTCTAGTTTGTAATCATATGGCAATATCTACTAGACAAACTGATCAAAATGTGGATATTTATTTCACTTTACTTATGTTTGTTACTCTCAGTGGAGTATAGGCTACCGACCAGCATTCTCCAATTCACTCTATCCTGGGATTTCCTTTCTAGTTCTAATCATTTGTTGTTCAATGTTCTCATATTTGTCCTCATTTCACCGTATAATGTAACATCAGCAATGGGAAAATACAAAATCTTCCAGATATCATTAACAGATAAAGAAATTTTTGTTACTATACAATACTCTTTTAATCCGTTTATTAAATGACTACTGATAATCATTATTTTGTCCAATGGATATAAATCTTATTTGTAAAGGTTTTGTACTTTCCCATTTGTTGATCTTAACATTTGACTCAGTGGTTAATTGTGAAGACTGTTGTCTCTTGATATGATAGGTAATGAGATTGTGTTTCGATGTGAATATCAACAGTGAGATGTAGATGAATTCAATAGATGAGTTCCACACCTAGTCATTATTCATTTTCCATAACATTTTTTTGATTTAACTACAATATAGAGGGTATCTGTTTAAGATGTAATTTGATCAATAGTGACTAATCAATTGTGGTCCTCGAAATCAATAACTGAAATATACGAATTCTTAAAAAAATATCATCGGAGGGTGGTGGCGGTGGCGGTGGGGGGGTTACTCAGTTCTACGCAAAGTATAACCTATCACGTCTGTATATCGGTTCTAGTTGCCAGTATAATATTTGTTACATCTAAGGGGATGTTAAAAATTTTTTAACTTTAAGACTATTCATAGGGTGAATCATTATCTTCATTATGTAATTATCAGATAATTGGATCCTTATACTCTTTACTACTACTATTTTATTATCAGAAAGGTTTTTTTGTACGGTGTACGGTGGCGCAATTTCGTGGATTGGTTAGAGTTAGACATTAAAACGGTTAGATGTTGGCTCAGTGGTAATGTGGTTAAGCGCTCGCGTGCGAGACTGATAGGTCGTGGGTCCGAATCTCTCAAGGCGGGATCGTGGATGCTCACTGCTAAGGAGTCCCATACTAGGATAAAACAACGATCTTATACTTTCAAGTCTTCAATAGTACTCTAATATCAATCAGTTCATGAAGTCAACTATTAAAACTTACTGTAATCTCTACACCTTTCCCCCCCCCCGCTTTTCTGACTTGATGAAAGATAAAAATAAAGTTAATTTATTCAAATAAATTTCTATATAATCATTGTATAAACGATATCGAGTTCGAATCCCATAGTGAATATCAGCTTTGCGATGCAGTTACCTCCAGCTGATGAGTTCAAAATAGGATGAAACGTGCATCAAACTGGATTCCACTACTATCCATTGTATAAACAATTAAAATTCATTGAGTGAATAGATAATTAAATATTGAATAATGATTCATAGTTACTACCATGTTGTCATGTAAAAACCTTGAAAATGTATCAATATGTAGATTTATATACATACAGTAAGACAAAATATTGTACATACTGTATTTATCAATGTGTTAAATGTTATAACGTTACAAGTGTGTTCTATGAATTGAATTCTAGGCGACCTGTTTGAATATCAGAGCTATTTGTTCCTATCATGTGGATATTTCAACAAGTTATCTGTTTTCATACATCATTATGCCCATTAGTCTCATAACCTATTCAGGAGCATTTATAAAACGTTTATGACATTTCATTGTATAAGTTACAGAAGGACCCAATCAAAGATATCATAGTTACTGATAAATATACATTGAAAAGAATAATTGTAATCATAGTGTTTTATGAGCTACTTAAATCCACAATAAGTAGTATATAGTGATAGTCAGGAATAGAATGTAATTTAACAGAAGATCAAGAAGGAAAGAACACAAACAGGAAGTAATTGATATGAAAATGCAGGAATAATGAAATCTAAGACGATGGATTGATATTTTGCAAATTAACTATTTACTGTATATTCACTTGGTATTGCTGTTTACTTGTATCTTCCCATTGTTGTTTTAGAACTGGAACTAATCACTCTGTAAATAGTATATGTCCAT